TGTTGCGTTCGGGAAGCAAACGAAAATAAGGCTTATCGTTGGGTGACTGATCTGCTGAGTGATGCCACAATCTTGTCAGTTCCTGAAGTCACCTTCCTTGTACCTCTGCTGCTTTTCACACTGAATACTATTGCGTTTGTTTTTTTGTCTTACAAATTTGAGAGTGGGGTTAGTGGCTGTCGTCGTGCTAACAAAATTAATATATAGCGTTTCTTTAAGGAAAAAGGCTGTAGAAGGTTTTGAATGGAGAGCAGTTCTGGCTTTCAGAAGAGGATTTCCTGCCTTTCTTGTAAATGTCCAAACATCCAGTGAGAGACTAAACACTTCCCAGAAGGTGCTGGGCAGGAGGAGAGTCCAGAGGTTCACACCGCGATGCTCTTCCCATGCTCTGCCTATGTTTTTCTCACCCTCCCTGTCCTTCTGTGGCTGGTGAGCTCTCGGAGGGCTCCATGTAGCAGCAGGGAGGTGGTGAAGAGAGGCAGTGTTTGCATTTTCTGCCTTGGTCGTTAAAGCTGGCGTCTTCTTGCGCTGGTTGTTTCAGCAGAACCTTCTGACTGAGAAAAATCAGCCTCCGGGCAGCCCAAAGGCTCCTGGGTGCCACCACACTGCTCTAGATCTGCCGTCTTCTGCAGCAGCTCTGTTGGAAAAAAAACCCTGTAGAGGCTTAGAAGGGAGAGATCTTCGGATGGCGTTCCATTGCATTGTAGGTGCTGGGAAAAATTGGTGTTTTAAGAGCAGTCTCGGTAGCAGATGGTGGTGGCATTCATCCAAGAGAGCTTCCTTCTTCCTCCCTTTTGAAGGCACGGATTTTTCTAGCTCTCAGATATGGAAGAGCTGTCGCTGCCCTTCGTGTTCATGTTGGCTGACTTCCTGTAAGTGTAAGAAAAAAAACCCAGTTGCCCATGTCGTCGAAATAATTTTCTCCTCTTGTTTGTATGCTGCACCCCTTTCCTAGAAAAATGGGTTTATAGGGAAAGTTTTGTCCATGCTCCAGATTGAGTGCTCTGTGCAGGTTTTAACTCCATATAAAATCCTTTACAGCATGCTAAAGAAGTACTTAATTTTGAGCTAGCCAGCTTCTTCCTTGGATTCTTAACCTGTGGCTGGGATGTATATAATGATAGATCCATAATTAAGAATCGTTTGGTTTAACTTAATTACCTTAATAGGCTATCTTTCAGAATTTATCCCTGGTGACTTACAGAAGGTATAGCTGAGCTGTTGGCAGATGGAAAACACCAGCTGCTCCGTGCAGAAGCTTTCCGCAGCTGGTGCCACACGGATGTGTGAAGCCAGCTCTGATCTGAGACTGCGTCCCTGCTTGGGGGGGGTTGTATCCCTTTTTTGGGGCCAGCTGGGGTTTAACAGGGCCAGTGCCGGGGGAAGACTAGGAAGCCCTGAGTCCAACCTGACTGCACTTGACACCCAGCTCTATAGGCATCATTCCTGTTTCCCCGTTAGCCGTGTCTTCTGGCGCGCCAGACAGTGGATAACTGGCATGGTTCAGCCCCACGCTTGATGTTCTGCTAGTTCAATGGCAGCTATAACAACACCTGAATAAAAAGTAAAGTTTGTAGATATTAAAAAATCAAAGGTCTTGAGGACACTGAGAATGAGCTGTGATGAAGTTTTGAAGGAGCTGCTATTTTTTTGGTGACAAGGAAAGCTTCTTGAACTGATGGACCGAGCTGGTGATTCTCACGCCTTAAAATCTGGAAGGTTTGTGTCCCTGAACGTAGGAGCTTGGTGCGTGAACTTCACAACCAA